TTTGAGCAGTAGTGTCCATTCTGTCCCTTCATTCAGTTTAGGAGGTCTCTTTGTTATTCACTTAAGATGCTCTAAGAGCAGCTTTTATGAAGGAACTCACTTGGAATTGTTAGTGCCATTTATGCAAGTAAATCATCTTCCTTTTAATCCAGCTCCTGTAGATCCCAAAGCAGAGTCTCTGAAATAGAAATGATCGTCTCCATCAACACACATCTTTCCACTAACCCAAGGTTTTTAGGCACTTTGTTGCCTAAAACTTTTTGGACAGACTCACAGATTGAGTTCATTTGAAATCCTCTAGTAATTAATTATTAGAACACTCATTTGGTCTTCTGCAGAAATTTAATGTTACTTTAAGTAACATTACTTTAAGTACAGATATGGCAAGTTGTTGGTTAAGTCTTTCATACTGTACGAGCAGTGGCGTGTCTAGAAAATTTTTTTGGGGGGGGCCAGGTAGGGGCACAGATTTGTAGAAGGGTGGCACATGTAATTGGCAGATAATGTTAAAAAAAAATTCTACCAACCGTTAACCATAATTCAATAATCCTATAAACCTAATAACCGGATGCGCTTTTAACTTTTATTAGAATGAGATTTTCACCACTATAGTGAAAAGTGTTTAGATACTGTGTTGATAAAGTACAAGAGATACAATCAGTGCTTTGTCAGTTTATTCAGCATTCAAGGACAAGTATTTTTACTGACAAATAGTGCACATATGTTTTGGGCTAAAACATTTTTGAACATTAAACTACAAACATTTTTAACATACAATTGGCAAATTAGCCAATGCAATGCAAAACTTATTTAACCCTTGGAGGGTCTTAAGGACATTTATTGTCCTTAGGCCTAAAGGTGGATGTCTTTTTAAGGACCCTCCAAGGGTTAAACTTATTAAAATATACTGAACTTTTAATAAGACTCTGTTACATGTTAAGAAGACAAGAAGTACAAAAACATTTGTGAACAGCAGCACTTGTAGTTGCAAAATATTTATTTTTTGATAGAGAACATTTACTCAAGTACCTACTCTATGCTTCATTAAATATTATCAATGACTTAGAATAGGTAGATCCGCCTGTTACAGTGACGGGTGGCGAAACGTGTTACAAAGTCATCCAGGCTTAATGATCTTGCCCTTTTCCTCTCAATACTCAAAACTCCAATATTGCTAAGCCTCTCATCAGTCATAGTTGTTCGTAGATGATTTTTTATAAGCTTTAGCACTGAAAAGCTACGTTCACAAGTAGCACTGCTGACAGGTAAAGCTAAAGCTATTCGACATAAACGAAAAAGCTGATGAAACACCTCTTTGTAAGACTCTAGGAAGGTAGTAAACCCCAAAATACTGGAGAGTTCATTCCCACACCCTGCTCTCCTTTGAACAACCTTTCTAGCTTGATACAGCTCATGTTTGAGGTCTTCAATATCACAGTCATACAGACCAGCCAAGCTTACAACTATTTCCTCTGACAAAAAGCTCTTACTCTTGGGGTTTAGTGCCTGTATACCCCTCATAATATCACAATTGGTCTTGTTGAAGCGCTTCTCCATCTCTGCATGTACATGGTCAAGAATGGGGTAAAATACTTCCCTCTTAAACTTGTCCTTGTCATCCTCCTTACACCTGTGTTGCCCGATTGGAGAATCTACAAAATAACCCTTTAGCCTGAGGCTCTCTCTCTGCACTCTTCTCTTAACTGTCTCAGAGGCAACAGTACACTGTTCCGCAATATCCATTGCGTCTTGCCACAGCTCATCAAAACAGGATTCACTTCTATATTGGTCCAAGGTGTCTTGAAGTGCATGAATTAGGTCTACAGCCTTTGCTAGATCAAGAGATGGAGACTGAAGTACATCAGAAAGCAACTTAATTTCCCCTAGAATTTTTCTAAATGTGGATAAATTGCCAATAAATGTGAGGTCAATTTGTGCCAACAGACCCCGTGCCTCCACTGATCTGTCACCGCTGTTCTCTAAATCTATCTCATGTAGCACTCTTAATATAGCTGGTAATCTGTCCATTACAGTTTTGCATGCACTGTAACGACATGCCCACCTGGTATCACTGAGTCTCTGAAGCTCTCTAGGAGCCTCTGGATACATGTCTTTTTGAACTGTGATCCATTTTTGGTGAACATATGAACCTGACATGTAGACATACAATTTCTGCAACAATGAAAAAAAGCAGTGTGCTTCAGGGACTGATTTCACTGCATCAACGATAACAAGGTTAAGGCAATGTGCATTGCAATGTACATAAAATGCATGTTTTGCCTCTGTTTTGATCCTGGCTGCAACACCCCTGCATTTCCCTGCCATTACTGACGCCCCATCATATCCTTGGCCTACAAGATTGGATCTATATTCAAGGCCATACCTTTCCAGACACTGTATGATATTTTGAGTGAGCCCTGCTGCATCTAGCTGACTTGCTCTCTGGAACTCTAAAAAACTCTCTTGAACAGCCCCATTGTAGTAATACCTTAGTACTAATGACAGTTGCTCTGTTTTCTTTAGGTCTTTTGTTTCATCTGCAATCACAGAGAAGTACTCACTCTCCTTTACTTCTCTGATAATGTCTTCACGTACCATCTCTGACAGACATTCGATTACTTCATTCTGAATGGTGTTACTGGTATATTTTGCATTTCCTGCAGCTTTCATTTTTTTGCAATCAGTGGATTATGCTTAGAAAGAAGTTCCATTAACTCTAAAAAGTTCCCCTTGTTTTGTGATGTATCTGTCTCAAGATGCCCCCTTTGGGAGAGGTTTTGCATAGCTGTAAGGAGAACTACTTCAGCAACAGTTTTGATATATATGCGATTTTCCTCTACTTTTTTTTTATATGCCTTGTCCAAAGCATCACGCACAGATGAATCTGTCAAAATGTTTTTCTGATGTTCACTCCAAGCATACATGGCATTCGTATGACCTTCAGATTTCTCATGCCCCTTAAAACCTCCATCTTTATACATTGCCTTCTTCCAGTTTGAGTACCCTTCATGTGATGTAATAGGAGTTTCAGAAGCATTTGGAATGGAAAAGTATCTACATGCAAAACAATAGACAGAGTCCCGACTTTGAGAATATTCCAGCCATTTGTGTTGTGAATACCATGTCTTGCTGAAGGCCCTCCTCTTTTCACCATGTACTGTTCGAGGAAATATCTTCAAGTGTGGCTGTCTAGGTCCCTCCGCTGGATTTTGAGATATATCTAAGTGTGGGAGGATTCAATTTAAAAATCAATGAAGAATTGTTTTTGATCTAGAACAACATCTCTTGCAAAAGTGACAGTATCAATATTATAAAATATTTAATGCACAATTAAAGGCTTTCAATATTAATCTATGAAGTAAGATTGGAGGTTAAATACCATGTGGATGGCCCAGTGTCGTACATGATGTTGAAGGAGAAGATGTTTCAAAAGGCACCACATCCTGGTTATCTGGTGGATCATGAACAGGTGAAAAAGTGCCTGGGATAATATAAAAATATTACATTTCATTAAATAAAAAAAAACATGTTATTTAAAGCAGGATTTTGTTTTAATTTCCAATTATGTACCACAATACATATATTCACTTATTTAATTATTTATTCCCAAATATTAGGATTTGTCCCCTATGGATCGGTTGAACACTTGACAATATAAACATCCCTTCCTTGCATTTTCCTTATTCATTCTCACATACCTTCATTTGTAGAAATCACAGGTGACAATGATGACTGCTGCTCAGTCCACCTTTCCCTGACATTGCTCTCTGCTTCTGGCGTTATTTTAGCCTTCTTAAGGAAGAAATTCTCAATATTTTGAGATCTTTTCATTCTCCACTCCTATTCTTCTATCTATACTGGTTGGCCCTGAAGTAATAAAGCAAAAACTTATGTCACAAACAACAACTTTCTTGATGTATGACCTTGACTGAAAGTCAGGGATGTCAAATTCTTGCCCTTATGGACCCCTATCATGCATGTTTTAGATGTTACCTATACCAACATAGCCAATTCAAATCAAATAATCCCCAAACACCTAGTTGTGCACAAGTCTGTAAATGATTCTTTAAATCAGCTGTGTTGAAGTATGGAAACATCTGAAACCAGGAGGACCAGAACTGCACATCCCTGCATTGAACATGGCACAAACTTTGGTAATATTGATGTATAAAGAACAACACTGGCTGATGATGAAGTACAGTCAGCTGGCATGGCGACACTGCCAGTATTAACCTGCAACTTGGATTATATCTTATAACTAATAACTCTTATGCTAGCTCCGCGGCCGCCCAGTAGCCTACTGAAATATTCGGCGGTTGCAATAATTCTTTAAGTGTTATTTTTTCCTTGGTATTCTAATTTCACCGAAGTTTACTAAACTCAACAAACTTAATATTACTTACCAGGACATTTATTCTCTCATCATTTTCTTTTGCCGGAAAATAGCTTTCTGTGGTGCCGTCTTTCTCCTTCCTTTGCCGATGCTGCATTCACTTACACTCGGATATCTGAGCTTCACTACGAAAACGTAATCGTACATTTGATATTTAATTGAATTTTATTGTTTTAGCTTCGGGGTGGCACCTGGGTGGCCAGTCTGGTTTGGGGGGTGGCCTGTGCCCCCCAGGCCACCCCGCTGGACACGCCACAGTGTACGAGCAGCCTCACTTTTTGATACCATTAAATTCTTTAGTGTCTGTTCCTGCTTGTATTCAATTTCCCAGCTCAAAGCAGCATTTGAAGCTCCCAGCTGGGACACACTCTCTTTTTGCTCAGTATTAATGGCAATAAAAAAACAAAACATCCAGCACATTGTTATACACACTGTTGTGACGTTATGATATCCAGTGACCAGAGGATTTCAGTGGAGCTGTGTGGATGTTTTAGCAAAAATGCAGTTGCAGAAGATTAGAAGTGAAGTGAGGATAACTATGTGAGACGCTGCTTTTATAATGCATCCCCACCCTCCCCTGCCTTCCTATATGTATCTGTCTCTGCAGGGTTTTTTCCGCCGAAGCATCCAGAAAAACATGGTGTACACGTGTCACCGGGACAAGAACTGCATTATCAACAAGGTGACGCGGAACCGTTGTCAGTATTGCCGCCTACAGAAGTGCTTTGCAGTTGGAATGTCCAAAGAGTGTGAGTTTCTGACACAATTTACACAAAGTACTGATGTGAGCAAATTAAATACAGCTGTTGGTTTGAAATAAAGGATTTGTTGTGGTCTATATATTCCAAGCAATAGTAAAATCAGGGGTATTCAGTATTTATTTTTTCAAAAAATAAGAATTGCAACATTTAATTTGATTAACTTATGTAGAGGAGTAACTGTCTGCATTTGCATTAATATATAAAATGTCCAAAACAAGAGAAAATATGATTTTTTTAATACAGTGAAAAGATGGAATTGGAAACATTCTATCAGACACAAATTTTCAAAAGGACGTTTAGTGTCATTGTAGTTTTGTTGGTTGAACTTAACAGATTTAGTGCTGAGTAATCAAGCATTGTTTGTAAAAGATGGCTGTAAGCACTGGATCTGAGAACTGAAGTGCAATATCACTGGGAGCCGGCTATATAGTAGTTTTTCATACCTTCATAAAACATCTTGATCCAATAGTCACCCATTCCAATTTTTTTCACAAACCTCAAAATATTATGTTGAAATGAGCTAATTTGACTCCTTCTGCTCAGTGTGATGGTGGTCCTCGTGAAAATAAATTATTCCTTAATTTGATATTAGCCCTCAACCAGAAGTTTCACTCTTATGTTTCACTCTGGTTACCAAATGCAGTCACATCTTGGTTCTTAGTGCTTTTTTACTCTACCTGAGCACTCAGACTGTTTTATATAACACAACCATTCACACTAGCACTTTTTTCAACACCTAAGCACTCTCTATCTAACCTTCACACACATTCAAACTCCAGTGAACACATTATTGCCCAAGGATACTTAGGCATACAGATCAGAGCATCTGGGGCTCAAACCACCAACCTCCCGATTAGACTTATTCTACAAAGCTATAATTTATTATTTGATTTCTAAGATATAAACTAATACGTTTTAATTACAGACATGTGAAAATTGTGTTTTTCACAGGACTGTGAAAACCAGTACATACTTACTGCTTCTAGAAGTAAGAACTAAGTCCTGCTAATTTATCATCAGAACGTGTGACCATCTCTACAAAAGGTTTTGTCATGTTACTTGTCTGGAACTTATTTTCTCTAAGTTTATATAAAATCAGTGTTAGTACAAACAATGGCAGTAAGAAATATTGCTTTAAATAGCATTTTTATCACTTTGCCCATCAGAGCAGTCTAGTGATATTGAAGGAGAGGTCAGAGGTCAAATGTGATATTTTGTCAGTTTGACCATTTTTTGAATGAAATGCAATTTATAATCTTCTTTCTTCAATCCTCCAATCTACTGAACAAGACCAAACAAGGGTCAACAGCAGAATGAGCTGATTGGTGTTGACAGAGAAGAGTTGGAAAGCTTTTTATGGGCACAGCCCAAATACTCAATTCTGCTCTTTAACACACAAATGCTTTGTCCTTACAAATGCAGCTTCATTTAAAGGGATATTAACAGGCTTTCCAATGGCATAAGGTTTCTTGCAAAGAAGTATTATTATAAAAACGATAGAATCCACCACAGACAGTGCAGTTTGTTTAAATGAAGGGATGCTGCTGCAGGGCAAGTATTGCTACTCTGGCTTTACAGAGTAATTCCATAGTGACCTGTATTTTAGCCAATTCAATTCAGTTCAATTAAAATTAATTCAGTTCAATTTTATTTATATAGCATCAGAACAGCAGGCACTTTTTATTGTAAGATAAAGACCCTACAATAATACAGAGAACACCCCAACAATCAAGAGACCACACTTGGTGACATGGGAAGGAAAAACTCCCTTTTACCAGGAAGAAACCTCGGCCAGAACCAGGCTCAGGGAGGGGCGGGGCCATCTGCTACATCCAGTTGGGGGTGAGGGAAGGAAGACAAATAGGCGCACTGTGGAGGAGAGCCAGAAGTTAATGATGAATAATGATTAAATACGGAGAGGTGTATAAACACATAATGAGTGAAAGAAAAGGTGAGTGAAGAAGAAACACATTATGGGAAGTCCCCAGCAGCCTCGGAGCAGGATTTTGAATTCTGGATTTAACAGGAAGCCAATGAAGGGAAGCCAATACAGGAGAAACCTGCTCTCTCTTTCTAGTCCCTGTCAGGACTCTTGCTGCAGCATTTTGGGTCAGCTGAAGGCTTTTCAGGGAGTTTTTAGGACATCCTGATAATAATGAATCACAGTCGTCCAGCCTGGAAGTAATAAATGCATGAACTAGTTTTTCAGCATCACTTGTTTCTAATTTTAGAGACATTGTGCAAATGCAAGAAATTTCTTTAATCAAACTATCTGTACTTTATCACTTGCTGTTGTTAAGACCCTCAAGATCCTCTGCATCACAGACATTCATAGGAACAGTTTGCATTTCATAGGTTACTGGTGTCCCTTGACTGAATCAGAATTTATGGTTTAGGTCCACTTTACGTTCCATTAGTCTCAGTGGGGAGGGGGTCCATTCCCTTCTGTTATACACTCTAGTAGAAGTGCAAAATATGATATCGTGATTTCCTTAGGCTAAGCACCCCCACAGGGCCCCTGATTAAAAATAACTTACTCTATTTCCTATATTCCTGTTGTGATCCTCAGCCTCTTACCCTAACTACCCTAACTGTCTGTTTGTCAAATAAAGCTGTCTTTTTCAGCTTGGTTTGCCAATACAAACCAAAAACTACGTTCTTTGGTTTGTATTGCCAACTACTAGGAAATGATACTGGTATATGGGGATTCTAAATAACAGATGTATCCAAATATCATGTCACGTTTGAGCTCTGATGTTGCATCTGCCTTTCTTTCAAGGTGACTCCAATATGCATAATATCTTCAAAGAAGGTATTATCAAGACAAGGATAATGAGCTGCCTAGTTAGTATAATATTTTATAATAAGGTTCTAATGTCATTATTCACAAGTCAGTACCTATTATGCATTACCTACTGCTGCATAATGTTTGTGTAATCAAAGTAACCTTCTGTCTGAGTTTTGTCTGAGTTTTACTGCTTTACAAACTTCTTAAAGTATGTTTTTTTAAAGAAAGGAAAAAATGACTACATACACAACACGATTTTCTTAGAGTTAAATACTGCCCAGAGTGAGAGCTGCCTTTACAGAGGTTTGCACTCTCTGGAAGAGAGTTCTTTCTTGGTTGATGGTTTCAATTAGTCTTATGTATGTGTGAATCATCACAGTAATATATATAAAATTACTCCCACACAGGGAATTCTTACAAAAAGTTACGACTGGCATCTGCTGGATGTGCTAGCTTGCTTAATTGTCCACAGACAGGAGTGTTAGCTAATTCCCGTCACTACTAGCTACGGTTTGCTCATCTCTCCTGAACCCAAATTTTAACCATAGATCAGCTGTCATACCAGTTACCCTCCAGTAAGGCGATCTTATCTGCAAGACTTTATTTGGATTGTACTAAGGACTTTCAGAGTAATTACCAGCTTTTTAGGCCTTACAAGGCAGGCCCTCGTAAGAGCCATAAGCAATGGCTCTGACTTTGGATTGTGGAGGTGATTGCTCTTTGGTATACTAGCCTGCAGCAGCAGGGACCAGAATGCCTGCAGGCTTACTCCACTCATGGTCTGGCAGTGTCCTGGGCCCTTTTCAGAGGAATGTGAATCCAGGTATCTGTGCAGCAGCAAGCTGGTCTTCACCTCTCACCTTTGTCCGGTTTTACAGGCTGGATGTCTCAGCTTCAAGCAGAGTCCTCACCTATCCAAGTGCGGACCCAGAGCCCAAGCAGTGCTGGGCTCTGGGTCCGCACTTGGATAGGTGAGATACTGGCTATTTCTATGACTGCTTGAGATAAGCTTGTCTAACAATACGGGAGCCTCCATTTTTCCATAGTGAGAAATGCTAGGAATGAGAACCTTAGGTTACTTTGTAACCCCGGTTCTCAGAGTAGCATGAGTGAGATGTCTCACCAGACGGCCCTTCTTGCTGGGATGAAGCAAGAGGAGGGGCTTATCTTGAATAAAGACTATGCAATATTTATATTTAACAGTGGGTGGCTTGGTCCGACATGTTCATTGCAATCACCAGCCAATCAGAACTGGCAGAATGAGATACATGATTATGAGGAATATGCAGGGAACCGCATCCCATAGTGGACCCAGAACAGTATGTGAAGAACTACTTAAACTTTGCATAGGTTCTTTTTTGGGTACTCCGGCTTCCTCCCACAGTCCAAAGACATGCACAGACAGTGTTAGTCCTGCGACAGACTAGCGACCTCTCCAGAGTGCACTTTGCCTCTCGCCCTATGGCAGCTGCAATAGGCTCGAGCCCTTCAGCGACCCTGAATTAATAAGCAGAATAGGATGGATAGTTTGACCCCCACTGGATGGGATGCAGCTAGGCACCAGGGGGCAATTGAAGCATTTCGGCTTTCTAGAAGCCACTATAACATTTTATTCACTCTTTGCTTGCAAATAGGCAAGCACACAGATCTTCCCTTCAGCAGCTGAAGTAGTCGACATGTGAAGCCCTAAAAAACACTTTTTTGAGGATGTTAGCCGGCTTTGAATTGAACTGAAGTAAGGACACAGAGAAAGGTACTTTTATCTGACAACCACATTAGCAGTGTGTTAAGTTGTAATTATAATTAAGGTATAATTAATTATGACATTAATGTGGGAGATGGGCAGCAGAAGTTATCTGATGGGTAGGCAGGGGTTGGGTTCACCAGCTGGAGTCAAATGGATCTTGGTCTTATCAGTAGCAAAGCCTGTTAACCAATAGTGAGATCATCATAGAGCAATCTTTTATTTTTTAAGTTGTGTTCGAGTTGTATTTGACTGCTGAGGTGATTTGGTTTCTCTGTATTATTGTAGGATTATTACATGACAATATAAAGTGCCTTGAAGCAACTCATGTTGTGATTTGGTGCAATATAAATAAAACTGAAATGAATCAAATTAAATTGAATTAAAAATTTGCTCCAAGGTAATATTTTAATATTAATAATTTGTTATCCTGTAAGTCTCTTATAAAACCACTCT